TGCGCACATGATTTTCTGAGTGCACTATTCAACAGTGAAGCGGCAACACCTCTTTTGACTGTTTTGGCATGAGAACTCATGTGGGGCAACAATGGCTTGGGTTCATCCCAGAGGGTGTCTCTCAACCGGGAAAACCAGGAATTGTCAGAGAAATTTTAATTACCGGGAAAAATCGAGGAATTGTCAGGGATATTGTCAAAAAGCAAGCCCAGTCAGGGAAAATGAGCCGGAAACGCCATCGAGTGCCCTGAGCAAAGGCTTGAGGACTTGGGAGCAGAAAAATAGGCAGTAAATTCTGCTTAGAGCGGAGCGCGGACTCTACTCAACCGGTGTAGAGTGTACTACCCGATGCAAAGGAAACAGCTGACATATCCAGTACAAGCCTTGGATTGGATTGACGGCGTGACAGCAAGCTAGATCCTGTTAGAGCTACTAGATTTAGTGACAAATAGGAAAGCCGTAGACCCCTATCAAATCCAAGCCTTAGGCCAAAAGCATCCGAAAGTGTGCATCTGGCAGCCATGCTGCCATTCGGTTATGGACGTGTGTAATTGAGCGTCATGTTTTCATTGTGTTTCCGGAAGTGGCCTCTTCACTGATGATGTCGGTGGCAAAAAAGTGCTCGCTTAATCCGGACTGGACGAACCCGAATATTTAGGAATATGCAAGTTGGATTAAGCCCGTGCAAAATGATCCTCACAGTGATCAATGCTCACTACCTTTTGTTTTAATGGTCTTATATATTTAACCGCCTCTACAGTGGTCAGGGAATTTCACCGGCAATTGTCTGGGAAAACCTGGAAAAGTCGGGGAATTTCAAAATTATAATTTGCTAGTCACCCTGATCCCTGCTGTACCTCCAGCACAAGCCGTTCGCCAAACTTATCTTAACGTCCAGAAACTGTAGTAAACCATTCTTCGGAAATCCCGTCGCAAAGGCCAGCTCAGGTGCCGTGTTTGAGATGAAGCCCAAAGCATCGCCAAGTCACTGCCTTTCGTTGTACAAACCAAAATGTTATCGACATAGCATTTGACTAAAGCGCTCCCACTACATCGACGTCAACGCCGTTTCGACTTTCAGATCTAAACCCCTTAAGCAAACTTCAGAAAGAATGGGTGCCAATTCTGAACCTATGCACACACCCTTTTTCTGAACCAATTCTCCTCCTTCAAAACCCACAGCAGTGACCAACAAATACCTCTCCAATAACACCAAGAAGCCACTTATGCCTATGCCGTAACTTGACTGAAACTTAACTAAACCTAACTCGAGCCAATCCCTCACAGATTGCAACAACACACCCTGGTCCAATGAATAGTAGAAATCTTTGATATCCAAAGATGCCACTCTGCATTCTTTGCGGTGAGACACCTCCAAGAGTTCCACCCAGTCTTCTGAATTCCTGAGCGAAAGTGGGTTTTGCCACAGCCAGATTGAAAGCACTTCCTTCACTCTTTCCCTATAACAACTATTCCCCAATGTGAAAACTGTGAACGAGGCTTTCTTCTTAGTGTGCTACACTAACAAGAAATTTTTATTTTTTGCTACTATAAAAACAAGGATGACATCTTTGGCGACTCTGAGTATGAATGTCAGGCAAGGGTCACCAGCACTGCCGATGATTTTACTTTTCCTATGGCATATCTGAGAGTGCCTTGAAATTCCAGCGGGAGGAACAGCGTGCCAGCTGAACACTCGGCAACCTCGCAGCGCTACGGCTCGGAGGACAGAGCCAGCCGGCACTTTGAGAGAGCTGTAAAAGTACCGGCAGAACATACTTGGGGAACCCTACTTAAACTAGCCCACTGTGCAGCGGCTTTTCAAAGTGCCCCATGATGCTGGAAAACGACCAGTCGAATATGCCACGAGTTTTTTTCTGGTCTGTTCCTTTCCTGTGCTAAGCATAAACTGGTGCTAAAGCAATTTTTTAACTTGTAATTACATAGCTCCTACTACATCAAATCGTCTCATATGCTCTGCAAAATTATAATTGGTGAAAACATCACTCCTGCTTCATATCTCCATTAAATGTAAAAAATTTATTACATAGCTCTGCCTGATGTTCCAGCACCTTCAAAGGGATCCGGCCGGTCGGCTCTTTGAGGATTATGAATGCCGGGAGCTTTCTCCTTGCCGCGGTCGCACACAACGCCACCGTAGACCCCAACGGGGGCATCCAGTTTATCTTGGTGATGGAGAAGTCATGCTGGAGGTGCAGTGTTCCTACAGTCTTTCGGAAGGCCAATACTGCCTCTGCAATGTCGATCGGGAGCTTCTGGCTGTCTTTTGTCGTGGCACGAAGTAACACATTGAACCTCTTTTTCCATCGGGACAGATATTAGCTCGAGGTGTTGAAGTTGCCCAGCTTGGGTTCTGATGTGAGCTTCCTTGCTTTCTCTTGGAGCAGATGGTGTAACAGCACCGGGGTCGTCCTTGTTGTCGGGCTCCGCTGGAGCCAAGCACTGACCAGAACATTGGGCAGAAGGAGCTGGGAAGCAAGGCTGCTTTTAACAATGGGTTTACTTTACATTTGTACAGGACGGAATACAGAATCTGAAGACTGGGAGTTCCGAAGAAGTCCTCCTCTTTTAACGGGACTCTTTCCTACATTCCCTACGTAGGGTAGCTAAGTCGGCTCCTCCCCCACAGCCACCGACACACCCCTGCCTCCACCCACACACGCCACCACCTCCACACTCACCACCCCACACTCCAGCACCCTCACACTCCACCATCCTCACACGCCACCACCCGCATGCAGACCAGCTGTCCCAACTACGTCTTTACTTGTCGCCCGAGAAGTAGGCGCAAAGTCCACAAACATGAGTGTCGCTGCCTCCTCTTCTGACGGGAAGGTGATTGGGTGCGGGTTGCCCGGCAGGAGGTGGTCAACCTGGGAACTAGGGAAAAGATACGTTGACTTCTTCCCACATTTGTTGGCTTTTGGGACATGATAAAACAGTGCACTGAACACAGAGGAAGAAAAAGGACAGGTAGAATGAAATAGTCCTTACTACCAACATAATATCTTTATTCAACCCTGGAGGGTTGCGGCACCACAGAAAGGCCATTGGCCCATACCTGAGGCCTGTGGTGCCGCACTACTACATATTGTGAAAAAAGAAACAAATAAATAAATAAATATGACAATGAAGCATTCAACGTTTTTTTCCATGGAAGATCACTGCTGAAGGAAGTCCGATGCCTCCTTGCACCAGTCTTTAAGGTCATCCTTCTCCTGGGGTGGACAGTCGGTCAGCGTCTTTGGCAGCGAGCGCCAGAGGGTTACACACTTCACCAAGACAGTTCTGGTGACGCACAGTGCGACCGAACAGTGGCTGTAGCCCACCAGATCTAGTAAGGCGCAAGCTTTTAACCAGCGGGAGCTCCTGATCTCTTGGGAGGAGGCTGTCAGCAAGGAGCCGGAGTGATGCAACCTGCCGGCGAAGTGCTAGGGGGTTCCACCCCACCATCCTCAGAAGTTCTTGCGTGGACAGGTCGCGGTAATGTGGCAGTCCAGGGGAAGCCTGGCACCGCAAGACTGTGTAGGCGGCACGCCGCTGCACACTCTTGAGGGACGCTTTCAGTGAATTCTGGTAAGGGTCCCAAACTGAAGCACAATACTCGAGTTGTGGGAGCACTAGAGCAGTGTACAGGTCCCGCAATGCACTGGCGCCAGCTCCTCGGGTGACTCGACGCACAAATCCGAGCATCCGGCGGGCTTTTGAGGTCACCTCCCCAATGTGCGGCGAAAAGGTTAATTTTGAATCTACTGTCACACCAAGAAGTCTTGCACGGTTAGTGGCGGGGAGTTCCTCTCCGTTCAGCTGGAAGCTGTGCTGTCTGGTGTTATGGCTTCTTGATGTGGTAATGAGAGTTGATGAGCATTTGTTAATGTTCAGGGGGAGCTTGTTTGCCACAGACCAATCATGGACGGTGTTAGGTCGTCCTGAAGTTGCTGATACTGGGAGGGATTCTGGACTGGGTGCATAATTGTCAAATCATCTGCATACAAAAGGGGTGTGCACTGCAGGGAAGACGTCACATCGTTGATAAAAATGCTGAACAAAGTCGGCCCAAGAACACTTCCCTGAGGAATTCCCGACATGACTTGTTTGGGGCTCGACACTGCGCCCCGGAAAACAACTCTCTGGGAGCGATTTCGCAGAAAGTCAGAAATCCAATTCTCAAGGCAGCCTGTAATGCCCATCTCGGATAACCTGCGGCGCAGCATGTTGTGATCCACCCTATCAAAAGCTTGCTTAAAGTCAAGCTGCAAGAGTTGACAGGGGATGCGGTTGTCGAGGTGAGAGCTTAGGGTGTGAACTGTTTCGGCCAGGGCTAACTCACAGCTACGACCGGGCCTAAAGCCGTACTGACAGGGTGAGAGCAGCCCATACTGCTCTAGGTGTTCAAGGAGCCTTTTATTAAGAATCCGCTCCATTGTCCTGCAAACCACAGACGTAGACGAAATGGGCCTGTATGATGCAACAGATGAGGTCGGGGACCCATTTTCTTTGTGCACTGGTGTGACACGGGCAAGTTTCCATTGGGAGGGGACGGAGCCTGCCTGCAGGAAGTTTGCGAACAGCCGTGCGAGGACAGTGCTGAGACGCTCGGAGCAGGCCTTCAACAGCATTGGATGCCCTCCATCTGGGCCTGCACCCTGGGAGGGCTTGAGGTGTCTCAATGCCTCAGCAACATCGCCCACCCCTATGTCTATGTGGCCGAGCGGTACTAGACCCGGGGGTGTGCGAGTGTCGACGGCACTGGGAGTGTCAGGGACAGTCCATGCTGTGGAGAACTGGGCACTGAAGAGTTCTGCAACAATTTGGGGACTCTCCACAATGGTCCCATCGACCGTGAACTCTGGCAAGGACGACGACTTCCTCCGATGGTTAACATATGACCAGAACAGTTTCGGTGATCGGGCTGCCTTCTGGGCAATGGTCTCCACGTAAGACCTGTGCGAGGTGTAGATTTCTTTCTTTAAATCTCTCTAGGCTTGCCGTGCCATACTGAGGTGGCGCGGGTGGTTAGTTTTCTTTGCCCGTCTGAAGAGTTTGCGCTTCTTTTGAGCAAGCTGAATGATGCTCTCTGTTATCCAGGGAGACCTCCGCCGTCCAGTGCTGTTCTTGACGGGGACACATTCCTTTTCTATTGCACTGATGAGGTCGAGCCAGATATCATACGAGTCACTTGCCGACGGCTCGTTTATGGCAATTATCCATGGAGCGAGATGCACAAGATTGGTGAGGTGGGCGACATCCATCTGAGAGAACAACTTGACCCTTCTTGCATACCGTCCAAACTTGGGAAGCGACAGGAGGCTCTCCAGATGTATAGCTTTGTGGTCAGACCCATCGAGGCTGGGCTCCAGGGAACAGGTGGAGATGAGGGCCGGGTTTGTGGTGAAGACCAGATCCAGAAAAGAGGCATTCTTTGCACTCGAGTAGTACGATGGCTCGTCACAAAGCTGAACAAGTCCATTTGATTCCATCATGTCCAGGAGTGTGTCATCATCTGGTGCCAACGGGACGGGGGCTGTTATGTCTGTCCAGTCGATGTGGGCATTAAAATCACCAAGTGTGCAAACATTTAAATAGGAGCTTACAACGACACGCTCCAGAGCATCATTAAGCAGGTGATAGGCCGCAACTCGGGTAGATGGAGGACAGTACACGCAGCCGAAGAGCACCTTCCCTCGTTTGTGGGCAATTTCAATGAAGAGAGCCTCAAGGCCAGCAACTTCAAGGTCTTGACGCCTCCGGCAGATCAAGTGTCGAGGGACAACAAACATAACTCCACCGCCACTACGACTTGCACGGTCCTTCCGGTGTACCACATGTCGAGCAGTGTCAACAAGTAACCCATCTGGCACTGAGGGGTCGAGCCACGTCTCGCAGAGAGCAAACACTGTATCTCCAGAGGATTCAACGAGCGCTTGAAAATCGAGCAGTTTGTTCTTAACAGAACGGACGTTCGAAAACCATACCGCAAGGTTGGCTTGAGGCTGCCCATGCGGCGTGGCGTTGGCAATCACTGGATCGCGGGTCGGGTCAGAGCCCCGAGATGCAGGCGTAGGGCATGTGGGGAACAGCTCATCGTCAAAAGCTGGGAGTTGGCACGCACCACAATACCATTCCTCCTCCGACGACGACAGGCGTCTGTAGGAGTGCAGGGAGAGCAGTTCGCACTTTCGGTGGAGCCAGGAGTCGCACTTATCACACTGCAATGCAGCAACGTTCTCGTAGACGGACCGGCCGCAACGAAGGCAACTGGGACAGGGGCCGGGATTTGATGACACATCACCAGCAAGAAGCAGCAGCAAGACGATCTGTGGTTGGCGGACGCAGATGGAGCGGACCAGCGCAGCTTTAGGCTTAGTGCTTAGCCAGTGGCCAAGCGAGTCTTGAGCGCGAGCAGCGTCGGGGATCCGGGCAGGCCACGTAATACCGTGGTCGGCAAAGTGATCGCCATGTCTCGGCGTGGTAGGTGAGACACGACGGAGCTCGAGGATAGTCACAGCGCAAAGCAAGAGACGGAGGTACGAGAAAATGCGTCCGCGCTCCGCCATACTTTCAGACAGAAAGAGGAGAAAAAAGAAGCCATAAAAAAAGAACCCCATGTGATAGCTAATAAGAAAGGGAAAAAGAAAATGAAGAGCACAGAATACAGAGGAAGGGAAAAGGACATTTCCTCTTGTCCTTTTCTCTTCTTCTGTGTTCTGTGCACTGTTTTATCGTATTGAAGTACCAACTAACTTAAATCACTACTTTACTACAGATTGCTCCTTGGGAATTCTTGGGAAGCTGCTCGTTAGCCCCGTCGTTTCGCCGCAAACTCCTGTTGGTGTGGCTCTTGGGCCATTGTGGGATTTTTGAAGGCCGAGATCTTTAGTCTTCCTCTTGGAAGGTCGCTGGTGAGCACCTTTACTCTGAAGTGGATGCTTGTCTATGTGCCTGAACGCCCGTGGGTCTCAAGGACAGCCGTTCATTTACAGCTCTTCCACGAATGAGAAGATTGGTGAAGGCAAGTAGTTTCTGTTGGTCTCCTGAAGAGATGAGCTTTAAGGTGTCAACAGTGGCCAACACCCCGAAGAAACACAGACCACAAAACAAATCCAGCAAGCGATGCCACCCTCTCCCCAATCACTAGGCCTGCAATCACCAAGATTATCTTATCGAATTACAGCCAGTCATAGGCCAGAAATGCCACCACTAAGAGAGCTGTCGTCATGTGTGAGCACTGTAATAACTCAAAGATAACATAAAATTTGTAAAATTTGCCTAACTGTTAAGGCACAGTCCAGCAAAGGAATCTCAAAACGACCTACTAAGTCCATCTACACCAGAGTTTGCCGCAGCCTTGTATTTCACAGTGAAGGTTGTGGGTCGCTACCTGATCGACGCACGATCGGGACGTGCCTCGCTCGCTCCCCAAGAAGTCACCAACACAGTGCGTGTTCAAAAGAGTTTACTCAAACTCACGTCGTTGAAGAGCCGCTCGTCGCTGTCGTCCCAATGACCTCCCTGACCGGTCCCTTTCGAAGTCGGCAGCCCAAGACCCCTTCCTTTTTCTCCGTTCCCCTTTTAAGACCTTCCCAAGTCCTTGTCCCGCCGACCGTCCAATCGGGAACCTTGCCGCGAGCCGACCCTCCGACGTCAGCGCTGGGTGAGGGGGCGCTTGCCCCGTTCCTCCCGGAGAGCTCGGACGTTCCGCGACAGGACGGCGACGGAAAATGGGAAGGCCACGGGGAACGAAGGAGCGCCCGACAGTACAGCGGCAGAGACCGGCGAGGTCACGGAGCGCGGAGGAGCCAGGGAGAGGGTCCCCACACCTCCCCTCCCTCAAGGCTCGGACCCCGGGGGGCCTGAGTCGGCGGAGGGTGGACGGTCCCCGGCCAGGAACTCCTCCAGCTCCGCCATCACCGTGTCCTCGGCGGGCGGAGGCGGAGGCGGGAGGGGTTCGGCCGGGCCGGCGAGTGGCACCAGCGGGGGCGGCAGCGTGTCCGAGACCGCGGTGGCGGCGGTCGCAGCGGTAGAGGCAGCGGCGGTGGAGGCTGCAAAGCTGGCCCCCTCGTCAGGAAGCTCCCGGGCCGCCGGGGCCAGGAGGTCGGGCCGGTCCCTCTGGAGGAGCCGCAGCGCCGCCTCGACGCACGGGGGGGGCCCACCGCCCTCAGCAGCTCCTGGTGGCGTGGGCTGGCCTCGTGGGTCTCGCGGTGAACCACCGGCACCCGGCAGAGCCAGCAGGGGTCCTGCAGGTCCGGGGCCAACTCGAAGGCGGGCAGCGTGTGCCCAGGAAGGGTGGCGGGACCTCGACACCGGGCGTGTCGTGGGCCGGCCTCGGCTGGTCCCGCCAACGCTGGCGGGACACGAAATGGAGGTCCCGCTGCCCGTCCCATGTCCAGGTTGCCACGGTGTGGCATGGCCGCCGGCTCCAGGCCCGTCCCCCCTGCGGTGACGGTCCCTTTCTTCTCCTGGAAGGAAGTCGTGCGGGGCGAAGAGGCCTGCTCGAGCCTGGTCCTCCCCGCGCAGGCGGGCTCGACCCACTCTGCGGTGTGCCAGCGCGGTGGCTCGCGGAATCCGCGGAGCCCGCCTGGCGCTGTCCGGACCCAGCGTCCGACGCCCGATCGTGGGGCCACCTCCATGGTCGCCGACCTCGGGAGTCGGGCCGCCTCGACCCGGGGCGCCCACCCCGGGTACTTGGGGGAGCATTAGCGCCCCCGTTCTGGCCCGGCGGGCCTCCTGGGAGGGGTCGTCCCCGTCCAGCGCCGGCACGTGCTTGGCGTCCGGCGTCGTTCCAGAAAGGCATTCTGTGGGGCAAAAATTCAGTTAAAAACACAGAAATGGATTAAACCCTGCGCCGCAGATTGTATTGACGGCAGAAACTCCTGTTAGAAGTGAGCTCGCCGACAGTGTCATGCACCGTCCGGCCAGCGCGCTCCATCCGTGCTCCGGACTGCGTCTGCCGTCCGGCCGAGACGGGGCTTTCCCCGTCCTCATCAGCCGCTTCTCGTCCATCGCCGTCCTGGTCGCGAAGGTAGTACACCTTTAAATCGGTCACGTGAACAGGGCCAGACTCCTCGGTTGTGTTCGGCCGAGTGAGTCTGTACGTAAGCCGCGACACTCGCGTACTTACCTCGTAGGGCCCATCCCACTTCGGAGCCAGCGATGCTGCGAATCCGCAAGCTGCATTACTCAGTGGGTGCATTCTCCTCAGAACCAGGTCTCCGACGTTGTACTCCAGGTGGCGATGGTTCTTGTCGTACTGCGCCGCCTGCTCGATCCTTGCGGCATCGAGGTTCTCTCTAGCGTCGCGCAACGCGCCCGTCAAGCGGCTTTTGAGCCCGGCCGCGTACGTAGAGAGTGGGCGACCCGATGCCCCGTCGCTGTTTCTTAACCCGTTCTCTAGTGGAGACGGGAGCTCCTTACCCAGGTTCAGGAACGCTGGTGTAAACCCGGTTGATCGGTTCACTGACGTCCGAATGGCAAAACCCATCTCGACGATGTGTTCGTCCCAGTCCCGGTGTCTCTCCGTCAGCGCGATCAGCATGCTCTTCACGTTGCGATTCACTCTCTCAGTGATATTGGCCTGAGGATGGTACGGTGTCGTCCTCTTGTGCTTAATATTGAGGGCCAAGCAGGAGTCCACGAAGACTTTACTAGTGAAATAACTAGCATTATCGCTGACTAGACACTTGGGCGTTCCGAAACGCAGGAAAGTGTCTAACAACTTTTCCCAGATTCGCTCCGAGACCAGTTTTCTCAGGGGGTACATGTCCACCCACTTCGAGAAATGGTCAGTGACCACCAAAAGGTACTGATTTCCCCGAGGACTCCTCGGCAGCGGGCCAACGATGTCGCACGCGACTATCTCCCACGGGTAGTGACTCATCACCGGCTGCATCAACCCCGGAGGTTTCCCGCCTCTCGGTTTCGCCTTCTGGCAAGCTGGACAGCTACGACAGTACCGAAATACGTCCTGCCTCATTTCCGGCCAGGTCGCGATGCGACATAACTTTTGAAAAGTCTTGCTGCCGCTGCCATGACCGGCCAGAGCCGAGTCGTGGAAGTATCTGATAAACTTCCTGCGTAGCTTCCTAGGAATCACCACCCTGAAGGGAGGGTCGTTCCCCTCCTCTTCGTTGATCGCGGGGATATAGCGGAGCAATAACCCATCTTCGCCCAGCAGATACGAATCGAACGGCGCGCCGATTCGTCCGTCAGTGTTCCCGGTGTCAACCGCAATTTCCGCAAGTTTTCCCAACACCCGCTGACAAAATCCATCTGCTCCCTGGGCCTCGACAAGCTCTGCCTTGCTTACCACTTCCCCCCAAGCCACGATCCTTTGCTCCCTCGTAGAGTGACCCACCGCTGCTACGAACTCCGGCTGCTTCCCCTCCTCCCAGCCATTCTCTCGCTTTCCTGCGATCGCGGGGGGCTTCTCCCCCGCGCACGGAGGTATTCTCCCTCCTCTCCTGCGCTCTTCGCCCCCCAACGGTCGCGTCTCCTCCTCCCGACCACCGTCCTGGGGCGCCCGAGAGAGCGCGTCCGCAACCTTGTTGCTCGAGCCCTTTCGGTATTCGACGGTGTAGGAGTAGCGCTGCAGGGTCAGAGCCCAGCGAGCCAGCCTTCCCGCTGGCTCCTTCAACCTCTGGATCCATGTTAGCGCAGCGTGATCCGTCTGTATGACAAAAGTCGTACCGTCTAGATAGAGATCAAACTTTTTCAAAGCGAACATGACGGCCAGCCCCTCCTTCTCCGTTACGCTGTAGTTGCGCTCGGGCGGTGTAAGCGTTCGGCTCGCGAAAGCCACGGGGCGCAACTGCCCATCGTGCTCCTGTAGCAACACCGCTCCGACACCGTAGTCACTCGCGTCCGTCTGTACGACGAAATGCCGGTTTAGATCTGGTAAATGTAAGCTCGCTGTATCAGCTATTGCCTTCGCGAGAGACGCAAAAGCCGCGTCGTGCTCGCTGCCCCAGATCCACCTTGAGTTTTTCCGCAGCAATTGGTTCAATGGCTGTGTTAGCTCCGCGCATCCCGGAATGAACTGCCGATAAAAACCGACCATCCCTAGAAACCTCTGAAGGCCCTTTACGTCGCACGGCGCTGGACAATTGAGGATGGCCCCCAACTTATCGTCGTTCGGCTTCAACGTACCGTTGTCAACGATAAAGCCTAAGAGATTAACCCTCGAGGCTGTGAGCTGTACCTTATCTGGGTTGATCGTCAACCCAGCCTCCCACATTCTACTCAGAACAATCTCGAGATGAGTTAGATGCTCTTCGAACGAGTTCGAGAATACTACGACATCGTCCATGTAAGCCATGGCAAAGTTAAACTTCGCGTCCCCCAGCACGATGTCCATCAGCCGCTGAAAACTAGACGGCGAATTCGATAATCCGAACGGCAGGCGGGTAAACTCAAACAACCCCCTGTGACAAGTGAACGCTGTCTTTTGGACGTCGTCTGGTGCTACCTGGATCTGCAGGAAGCCTCTGCTGCAGTCCAGCGTGGTAAAGACCTTCGCGCTACCCAGCGAGTACATGATGGACTCAATAGATGGAAAGGG